CCCCCATGTAGCGCACAGCTTTGCCCTCGTCAAGCTTCATCATTCCTTTAAAATGTTTTATATAACTTGTTGGGAAAGGACCCAAAAAGTTATTTTGGGCGAGATCAATGATTCGCAATTTTGGAAGAGATTGCGGATTTTTAGAAGCACCTATCGAACCTTGGAATTTATTGGAATGTAGTACAAGCACTTGCAACTCTGATAGTGCTACGATCCAATGAGGAAAAGTACCGTTTATCTTGTTGTTACCAAGATCTAGCACTTCCAAGTCTTTGCAATTGCTGATTGATCGAGTCAGTGGCCCTTCCAAATGATTGCTATTCAAGTTCAGATTCTTTAATCCACATCTTCTTGCAAATGTTGGGGGAACAATTCCATGGAACTTATTCATCTTCAAATTCAACAATGTAAGACTTTTACTAAAGCTTCCAATACATTGTGGGATGATTCCACTGAAGTTATTATGAGACAGATCGAGAATCTCAAGAAACTTCATATTGCATACACCAGAAATTTCTCCCATCAAATTGTTGTTTGAAACTGAAAAGAATCTGATATTGTGGGGTAGTATTGGTAGATCACCTTGAATGAAATTAGAACGCAGGTCAAGAAACTCAATATTTTTCCATGGAAATTTGGAAATTTTGTCATCAATTCTATTGCTGGAAAGGTCTAAACTTTTCAAAACTTTTGACCCCTTTAAAAAATTAGGAAATTCACTGATGTTGCAAAACGATAAATTCACACGCTCAAGATTAGCTAAAACAAAATTGACCCTGCTGTTGGAGCTTATTAGTGATAGGGTATTAGATGAAAGCTCAAGCCAGGTGAGATTTTGAAGCTTTGAGAATATGCCCAAACTTATCGTACCGTTTAGACTATTTGATGATAAATCAAGAAAAGTAAGGTTTACAAGTTTCGATATTGAGCTTGGAATGGTTCCTTGAAAGGTGTTATTTTTGAAATTTATATAGTCCAAAACACTTTGTTGGAAGTCTTTGATATGACCAATGAACTGGTTGTTTCTAAGATTTAAAAATTTTAAACTTGGATGGGTGTAAAGCCAAGATGGTGTTGTACCGTTAAGTAAGTTATCAGATAAATCTAGAAAGCCTAGATTTGGAAATGCGTTTGGACTATCAGGAATGGAACCCTCTAATCGGTTAAAATTTAGACCAAGAATTCTCAGTTGTGTGAGGTTTGTTAGTGAACATGGAATCGTACCACTAAAATAGTTATATGGAAGGAATAAAAAGCTAAGGCTAGATAGATTTCCTAGTGATCTTGGAATTGATCCCGAAAAGTTACAACCAACAAGACCCAAACCCTGTAATGATTTTAGATTGCCAATTGATTCTGGCAATTCTCCATAGAAAGACGTAAGAGATACATCCAAATCCTCAAGAGGACTGCTCCAATTGGAGTGTGGAAGCTGACCAGTGAGACTAGGATTTCTATCCAATGTGAGGTACTTGATTTTGGGAAGATTGAAACAATTCTCTGGAAATGTTCCACGTAAATCACAACCAATGAGACTAAAAGATGTGAGAGAATAGGACAGATTCATGAAGGAGTTAGGATCAACCGATGACATGTCTATTCCATCAAAAGAAATGTCTCTTACCTCTGTTAGATTCAGAGCAATTCCATTCAGAGTGGATTGCTCAAGTTTCAGAACTGATTCATCTGCTTAAGAGATAAGATCAATAGCTGAAGCGGTGGAAAGATCCAGGGAAACTAATTTGGATAGATAGGAGTTTTCATAGGGAACTCGGCCGGAAAACCAAGAACGGGAAAGGTCGAGGTGTGTTAAGCTTGCAAAGATACCAAACTTGGATGAAATTTTGGATTTCTTAAAATCATTGAACGATAAGTCGAGCCTTTGCAAGTTTGAAAGGAGGAAGAGGCTGCTGTTTAAAGGGAGGGTGCCAGAAAGCCAGCTGCAACTGAGGTCAAGGCTGATTACTTGACTTAATTGTGTGGATTGTTAAGAAAAGTTAGAAAGGAATGTGTCTAGTGAAATGAGGGTAACCCTTCCATCATCTTTCTTATAATCTAAAACAATATATTAAAAGAAGTCCCAACGAGACTCTCAAAATTCGACAAGTGATTTTAATTGCCCTTGGGATGGTTTAGAATTTGGTTAAAATAATATTTAAGTCAAGTAAAGTCTTTCTAATCGTATTCAAGTTTATTTCAATTATAGAGAAAGAAAACTATTGTAATATATCAAAAGCATAATGTTACTTATAAAATATGTGGTATTTATATTATGATTATTAATTAATTTGTATTTGTACCATTATTTTAATATCTGAATAATTGTAATTATTTTCATTGATTTTTTAGAATTTCAATATCACATATTATAATTTTTTCAATTATTTGTGTAACAACCATTCCCCGATCACTATCAGCATCTGAAACTCTATGAGAGAAACGTCAAATCCCGAACAGCTTTATTAAGCACTCTTATTAATTCTATACTCGTTCCACCACTCTGTGCATTATTTTTGAATCGAATAAACCCTTGTGATATGATTTGTAATTATTTTCATTGATTTTTAGAATTTCAAATTCACATATATTATAATTTTTTTGAATATATCTTGTTTTATTTTATGTACATATTTTTATCTTCTCACAACATCTTTAGTCATGTTTTACCAAACATATATTACCTCACAGTTGCAGTTCATTCTTCATTATTTTTACTACCAATTCTTCATACTGCTTTCCCTTTTATTATTTAAATTATTAATTAATAAAAATAAAATATAATTTTTTAAAACTATTATGTCCAACTTAATCCATCTTATCATGTTATGATCATCATGAAAAGCGTACGTCATATATATTAAAACAAAATTTAACACTGATAATCATTCTCATGAATGAACAATTTGATACAAATATAATGATTAAATTCAATAAATCCAAAGTAGAGGGACTCAAACATGCGGAATGGAAATAGGGGAGAAGCCAAATTCAGAAACGCTTAAAACTTTTCTTTTTTAATGATTAAATATTCTTTCTTTTTTAACTTTTACTATTATATCGAATTTTATTGTTTTCTTTTATAATAAATATTTTACTAGAATGACTGAAATTAATGGAAGTGGTTGGGCTAAACCATGAGAGACTTGGAAAGCCAATCACCCAATGACAACTTTTTTCACCTCCAAACTGAAATGATGATTAAATTTCTCCATATAGGTAGAAATTCCTTTGTTTGACTTGGGGGAACGTTGCCTCTTTTTGTTTCTAACGTGTCCAAGGGGGCCATGGTGCCTTCTTCTTTGTAATTATTTTGGGCCTCCATTGCCTACCCAAGACTGTGACTCATGCCCTTGTTTTCCACAACATTGAATACTTAATTAACTAGCCTTTCTCACACCTACTTTAGATGGAAGCAATTTTTTTTACTATATATTTGAATTTTAAAAATTTAAAGGAAAAATAAACCTATATTAAATGTTGAAATTTACAATCTCATTCGTAAAATAAAAACAACATATTTATTTTTATTTATATTATTTAATATCAAAATTTTACTATGTAATTTAAATAAGCATTAAACATTTGAAACCGTTGTGCTAAACATGGAATCAACTATAATGATGTTGGAAATCTAGAGATGGGCTGTCCAAATTTTGGAGGCTTTCACTATAATTTCTTTGCTTTTCATAGGACCCTGTTCACTAATAATGTCCAATTTTTTCACTTCTTATAATATTGGTTTGCAAGTTTAATATTCGATTAGACCGAAGAAATAACTGTCAACTCCGTGTGATGAACTTTAAAGCCAGCCTTAAAGTATGTTATCCTCATGTACTGCCAAACCATATTTTTTATCCAGATTAGATGTGGATACCTTGGCTTGATTTTAACCATTAATGCACATATGAAACCTTTCAACAGAAAAATGCCAGTTCATATGGAAACATATATACTGTACCAGTTGCCCTATTTAATACGATTGACAAGATTGCAACTTTAACTTCTTCTTGGGCTGATTTTGTTTAGAATTTTTAAGTCAGCTAAAGTTTTTCTAACTTAATATCGGTGTTGTGTCACCCTACTCAGCTTTGAATCATCATTTGTCATATAAAGAGCGTAAGGACGGGTCATTGACATGATCTGTCCCAACTCCCAATTCATTAGCAGAAATCTGGACCAAGAATTTAACAGATAAGGTCTTGGACATATATATGTCCCATTGTCACAACTATCAAAATTTGTATTCCTATAAGTCAATCAAGTCTTCCAGGTAATTTATAAATCTGTCTGTATTGGTTTTAGTCCATTGGGGGCTGTAGGATAATGCAGTCCGTTATTATGAGAAGAAACATGTGGTGCTCTTTAGAAGTTGGAAGAGGAAGGGGGTAGGAAATTGCTATAGCAGGGATCTGATTAAGACTTAATCTTTTTATTTTGGTGCCGAATCATCTTTGTTAAGTGGCTCCAATGCAATTGGAAGGGGCATTCTCATTTGAAAATGTGGATTCCAAGTTCAAACTGAGTAGACACGATTGAAATTCATTCATTATTTCAATCTTGTAATCTCGCAATAAAAGATAATGGAAATAGATATTTGTTTTTTTTTAATTTTTTAGTAAGCTTACATACTAATTATATGAAAAATTTATATTCACAATTAAATAACTTTCATTATGTGCATTCATAATTTTTTTATATATTACAGTACTAACTATAATAACATTTTTTTGGACTAATTATTTATAATAACTTAAACTAACTATAATACAATACTAGAATTATCATATAAACTATCTGTAAAATTTTTAAATTTTATGAATGAGATTAAAAGGTTTATACATGTCCCTATAAGTTATATAGGTTATGTAATAATTAAATAGACATGTGACAATAGTCTAACTCCTCTTGTACATGAAATTAATTGTAATATTATGATCTTATACATGAAGGAAAAAAAGAGTTATGACATGTTAACTGAAAATTCCTAAGAATATCAAAAGTTTTACTTTTATTTTTGTAATTTTTTTGTATGACTTACAAATCTAGACAATCAACTTGTACTTATATAGAGTTAAGATTCTCACTCATTGAAAAATTAATTGATCAAGGGAGAGGAAGATCATAATACATTGAATCACAATAGTTAATTTGATTAATATTGATTTTGTTGTCGAATCACGTATTAAAAACCAAATACGTTTTCTAATTTTAAATTCTTGTTATGGTAGATCCTAAATTAGTATAAATTAATTACATGTAAAAAATAAGCAAATAACTCTTTAAACTTTTAAATTTAGGTTTGAGTCCCATCTTGTGTGGGTTTAGTTCAACATGGTATTAATTTGTTAATCTATTTAATTTTGTTCATTGGTTTTTTATATTGGATTATAATTGTAAAGGTTATCACCTCTTATTGGCTAAATACTTGATTTCCATAAGATTTAACTTTTTTGGTTAGTTAGAATAAAAATTTATTAAAAGCGAAAGCTAAAACATTATTAAAATCTTCATAACAAAAATCAATCAAAGAGATACAGATAAAGACCTTAACAAAGAAAAAGCAAAGTCAAATAAGTGACAAACACTCGAAAAACCATCTCAACTCACAGTTACCACTAGACATAAAACATTTCATCTCCATCAACACCACATTTAGTAGAGGAGTCACTACCAAAAACATATTTTTTTGACAGATTTTCGTCGAAAAGTTAAAATTATGTTGAAAATACTTTTCCCAACGGATTTTCAAAGAAAAAATAGTTAAAAATTCTATCGTAAAAACTCATCAGAAAATTTTGTTGGAAATCCATTGATTAACAAAAATCCGTTGAATTTCATTAAAAAATATATAATCTATCATTATCTTCTATTAATTCGTAGAAATTTCAACGATTATAACCTAAAATATTCGTTCCCCCTCCCTTTGCCAACAATTGCTTAGAGCTATGACCACCTTCAACCAAGTTACAAACCATTTGGTTTTCCATGAAGAGCACATATCCATAGCCACTCCGAATATGAATCCAAATCCATAACCAATCAAACCACTTCCCATCCAAATTCAACTTTGAGCCATTCATTGGGCGAGCTCAGTCGTTGTGCTCATACTGCTGCAAGCTATAGAAGGGGAGTCCACACAATCCCTTATTTCCTTCGTATAACCATTTTCAAAGTGTGGACTGCTTGCCTTGTGGTATGGTCAACAAGTTGATATTGGAAACGTTGAGAAGGAAAGAAAAGTGAAATCTACCAGCCTTCTTTGGAAGTTTTCCCATCAACTTATTGACGAAAGATCTAACCATGTCCTATCTAGTCACTACAGTTACTAAGCTATGTATTATGGTGAATGGATATCAAAGAGTTGGTCTCCAGACCTTATCTTAGATGCCACGAAAAGACATTTTGTTGATTGACTCTCTGGACAAATGGTGAATGTGACGTGTATTACTACATACTACTTAAACTGTTGAAAAGCAAATAGTAATTTCTTAAATTAAGACAGACAAACTCAGGACTCACAAAAGATATGAATCTTAACCTTCAAATTCTTCTTCCCTCCTTTTGCAAAATTGCTGCAGAGCTTCGATACTCTGATTCAACCAAGCTCACAAACCATTTGGGTTTTCCCATTGAAGGCACCTATCCATAGCCACTCCATATGAATCCAAATCCATAACCAATCAAAACCACTTCCCATCCATTCACTCATGATTGTGGAGTTCATGATGGTGGTGGTTGTCGTGCTCATACTGCTGCAAGCATAGAAGTGGAGGTCCACACAATCCCTTATTTCCTTCTACGAACATTTTCAAAGTGTTGAACTGCTTGCCTTGTGGTATAGGTCAACAAGTTGATATTGAGACGTTGAAGAAGGAAAGAAATGTCAAATCACCAGCTCCCTTGGAATTTGCCCCAACTTATTGGACGAAAGATCAACCATTCAAGTGAGTCAAATTTCCAACGGAGTGGGACATGACCAACTAGATTGTTATGAGATAGGTTAAGTCCTCGGATTGAACTAAGCTCTCCAATAACTCTTGGAATCTCTCCATCAAAGTTGTTTCCGGAGAGATCAATGGTTGTGAATATAGTTAAAATCTTAACCAATTCAATCTCCAACCCTTTTACGACTACAGCAACAGAGTAGTAATCGTATGAGTAATTTTCCTTTAAAGAAAAGAAAATGAATAAATAAAGTGGCTAAAAGGGAATTCTTCATTCAAGGACTATGATTATAATTTTTGTGGATGGTTGGAAAGGCAAATTTCCGAATCCGCACTCTTACATACTACATAGAGTTGAGACTATAGATCTCTGCCTGTTCCTTCTCGTGGGGCCTCAGCTGTAGGAGACCAAAGTCAATTGTTCTCATACACACTAATAAAAT